TTATTGCTTTGAAAACATTGGACTTCTAGTATAGATATATGTGTGTGTGCGTGTGTATGTATGTGTGAGTGCCTGCCCCGTCCTATCGTTTTTGGCCCTGTCTACCTACACACATATACACTGGTGTTATGCAGCTCATTCAAGATCACGGCACCTTATTTTATCAGCTGCATGCATGGAGGTATAAGTGCAGTGTATCTTACTTCTTCCCTGTCAGCCGCAGAGAAGGTTCATATATGCTTCTCCCAAAGAACAGTTGAGGCTTTGGCCAGTTGGTGATGCATATTTGATGGAATGAAGTGCTATGAATGGCTCTCCTCAACACACAAGACGAAGCGTCACCTCCTGTGTCTCTCCTTTTGTTGTCCCGTTAATTCCGCTTCATTTGATCAAGCATGCTTATCCATATAACTGCTATCGTTTCAAGGGGGTTTTTCGTGTTACACCCCACTCGCATGGGTGTAGCTTCATCCAACACCCATAGTTAGGGGTGTTCATAAACACCTATTAAAGTAGTGTGTAACGTTTCTTTACACCCTACGTTTTCAGGGTGTTTCTAAACACATTATTGTTTAGGGTGTTCCTAAACACCCTAAAAGGGTGTTGCTGATAGGACAAAAAATACACCCTTATGGGTTTAAAATTTTTTGCAGTATGGGGTTAACGTGCGTTATCAGTACCCAACACTAAAGCAGTAACCGTCCAACATAAACCGTATTGCCAGACGTATACGATGAAAATCTGTTTCTCAGTTTGTTTTTACCGCGGTATGTTTTCGGCGGTAGAAGGGCTACTTGCAGTGCCGGGTATCGATATAAGCAGCGCCCCAAGATCATCACACGCAGCCGCACCAACTCATTGAGTGCCGGAATGAAGCCTCTGGTCCGCTTTGGCTCGAATTGCAGCTTTGTCCTTATATCGCACTCCGCGTGCTTCCTGAGGTACTTTGTGCAGCGGTGACGTCAGAGGTTTTCCCTCCACGTTTGACTATGTACTGCCAGCTTTGCGGAGAGCAGCACGTTCTTCTATTTCACGGCAAAGGAACTGGATAATCGCGGAGAAGTGAACGGCGACCGTGCACGACGGAGGTGATGACGAGGACTCACGAGAGGGAGCAAGTGATGACAAGCGGTATAGTTTCTATAGGCTCGCGTGGCGCCCTCCTAATCACACCGTTCGTTTCTCCCAAATGCGTGCGGCAAAGTTCCCTTCCATGAGGAAAAGCAACGTCTTGCGAGGCAAAGCGAATTTCTCGGGGCGTCTCACGTTGCCCGATGTTATATGTAAGCGAGTTTGGTTAGATGTCACAGATTTTCCGCGTGCAGGGTTATTTCGCTCGAAGCACAGTTGAGAACGCTGTGGCACGGTAGCGCATAAGCGAAGTCTCGTAGTTTTATATCTCATATTTCGCAGGCGGTCTTTATACGCCGAAAAAATTCACCGCGCAGTAAGTACGGTAATTGCCAGAGAGAGAGAGAGAATTGGTCGTTTTGGAATGGTTTTTCTTCCACATCACAAAATACGATCGACCCTGAAGTGAATAGTTAACAATTTGCGCAATTCATTTTCATTATTCAACTAGCTTAAGCGCACTATAAAATATGCCCTGACGAGCACTACATCACGGCAAACCACATGTCGTTGGTTTCATTCAGTTGCGGTAAACCACATTTTTTTAACATTCTTTATTCTAGTTACGTGAAATATCCGGTATAATCACTGGTTTTATGCACGCAAATTAGGCTTGATCACATGCACGATCATGATGCGCGCGGTCATGAGAGAGTCTTGATTAATTTGGAATCCCTGGGGTGCTTCAGTGTGCACCCAAACCTAACTTAGACGGGTTCTTTTGAATTTCACTCCCGTCGAAATGCGGTTGCCGTGTACGGGAATCGAACCCGCGCGCTCGAGATCGATTCGAAACACGACCATGCCTGCCAAGGCGAGGATTTCGCGAAAATTCAAGAACGATAACTGATTTCCGCCTCGGTGGCATACCAGTGAAAGGCATTACCAGAATTAACTATACCTTTCCCATTCTCTTCCCACATGCTTCACCATGCGAACTGTTCATAGAAATCAGTTTTATGTTGTGCAACGCGTCCTGCTCAGCAGCGGATCAAACACGATAACGTTAAGGCGCATCTAAAACAGCGGGGATTAAATTACTCAATATCATGCATTGTGGGTCGCGCACCTATCTCGCTCTCTCGACACATATATCAAGTAATATGAAGTTAGCTTACGACGCATGCGCAGTGGCGCGAAATGGTAACGCAAAGCTTTGTGTGCACGATTCTAAAACTCTACACATTTAATTGCGACAGCATAACTACTTATGCGACTTTGTGCTCTCGAGTTACCGCTCGAGGAAGCTTTCAACTTCGCATTTTTTGTTGCTGTTATTGTTGCTGTACAGACGTTTCACCTATTTTCATGAGTGTCCAGATTCGTTCGTATACAACTGGCACTAAAAACATGTGCAGCTTGCCTCTTTCGAGGATTGCCTCATTCGAAAATGGAAAGTTCTCGAGTCTGCCTCCTGTTCGCATAGGATGTTTCAGAGTTCATGAGGCCCCGCCGCAGTGGTCCAGCGACTAAGTTACTCTGCTGCTGACCCGCAGGTCACGGAATGGAATCCCGGCTGTGGCGGCAGCATTTTCCGTAGAGGCGGAAATTCTGTAGGCCTGTGTGTTCAGATTTTGGGTGCACGTTAAAGAACCCCAGGTCCGGAACTCCGGAATTTCCGGAGCCTTTCACTACGGCGTTTCATAATTGTATGGTGGTTTTGGGACGTTAAACCTCACATATAAATCAATCAATCAATCAATCAATCGAGTTCACGTGTGCTCGGATCACGGTTTTTCGTCGGCTTCCGGCTGCACACGTCCACATCCCACTTAGAAGCGAGCGTCGGTGAGAGAAAAAACTGCTTCTTGAAGATAAGCGTTCATGCTTCAGGCCAGTCGTATTCAGTGCAAGTGGTGGTGTCTGTTGATGTGAAACAGACGAGACACTTGTCATATTATATTACATTGCCTGGCGCAATCCTGAGCGATGGTCTGGGAAGCGTTGAGGCAGTTCCATTGTTTGACAAGAGCCGCCTTATCTGTTTGCTGTGGCCGAGTGTCAAGCGTATTTCACCGCGGCTGTATTGTTCAAATTGACTTGCAGCGATTGCGACCTTCTACCGAGTGCGCACTCTAAAGGTTGCCGCCGCCACAGTCATCACCATAATCATCGCTTGTGGTCATCGCCAACAGTGAGCCAATGACGGCGAATGACAAAAGAAGGGAAAAAGAAGAGAGAACAGAAGAAAACGAAAAGAAATTCAGGCCGATTCCACATGCGACAAAGCAATTTCAAACGAAACGTGTTTTACTATACAGTTGTAGTATGATTGTAATTAATTAATCTAACTTTTACTTCACGAAAAAGCACGGCTCTGGGCCTCTCGGATTATGTGGAGAAGGGATCGCTGGGCGAACAGCATCAGAATGTTAAATTGATATCAGTTCTTTCAAATTCATCGTACGCGTAGAGTCATAGAGTTATTGTATTCGAACACTGCATCCACGTTCACAAGGCATTATCTGTTCTCTTGCGGCGTCACATAATCCCACCTGCATAATACGAGCACTACGTGATCAGACACTACAGCGCACTCACTTTCGTGAATTGGCAATGTTCAGCGCTATATTGTCATGGGAACTGCATTCATCAAGGCACCCCCCCCCCCTTTGCAAAAGATGAAACAAACGCAGTTTAAACAATCCAGTCTTGCCCACGCTGAACATATCGTGTAAACAGTAGTAGCGCATTATTTTGATTAAATGAACTATGTACGAACCTATGTTGACGGGGTTAATTTTCGCGTTATTATTTTGCTTCTGTATGTGGCTCCCGTAAACAATGACTATATGTTGCAAAATTTATTGTACACACATACAAAACATATCTGAATGCTAATTGCTCCAGCATCCCACAATAGATGAATACTATTAATTGCGAAATAAGCTTGCGACCTGTGGTATTCGTCATTCTTCAATGCCAAACAATATGTATCAAATATTCGTTCCACTGGTGTTAGCCGCAATGTTTAGTTTAAATACCCCATCGAGAATAACTCATTGTGTGGTGTAGCAACGATTATGATATAGCGGTAAGAGCAGAAAAACCTAAAAAAGAAATCACGAGCCCGTGGTATACACCAGCATATGTACACGCCTAAGTCGACTCGCTCGTGAGCGGATTATTGTGAAGAACTATAAATGTGTTCGTAAATACGGGATAATAAGTTTCGAGATGGTTTGCCAAACGCGAAGACGGTTCTCATGATTTTTCGGCGCGCTATCAGTGTTAGGTCAAGCTAGTAATATCTGAACTGTGCATTTCACAAGCTTCTTGTCTTTGGCGTTTCTCCTGAACCATTTTGATTGTTTCACTTGGTCATTGGGAAGCACAAACTAACGACCGAGTGTGAATGGCCATATTCTACTTGTCCAGTGGATATTTAAAATTTTTAAGTTTTCATAATAAGGTGCACACGATTTTCGCAGGGCAGACCCCCGTACTAGAAACTTTAACATAACAAATTTGCCTTTTTATCTGGATGTCCTGAATTATAGTTAAGTAAAGGTTATAAATTTTTCTTAAGATATTTAGAGTAAATTAAGTGCGACAAATTACTTTCGAGTAGGCTTTACGATAATGATTGGCAGTTGATCGTTTCTGAACCACATCATGTCTACTGGCATTAACTACCAGCAGGCGTGATGCGAAGAGTAATGAGAAGCGGAGGCGAGTACCGCTAAGGCTGTGGTTAGCCTTACATAAATAGAGCGCCGGCTTTTCGTATAAATGCGTGAAAGCGCGCAGTCCGGCACCCGTCGGCTTTCTCATTCTTCATTACGCCACGTGTAACGGCGCTTCGGGCACAAGCAACTGCATTGGCGGGATGCAAGTCGGCAGAATGAAAACGAGAGGTGTATACGTACGTCGCAGTGTGACAGGGCGACACTGCTGTTCCCGAAGAAGCGCTCAGCTTGTCTCCTCGGCTAACCCGGCAGAGGCACTGGCGGCCATTTTGCGACGCTCGATGGCGTATGCGCGCTATCGGTGGCGCCCATGCGGCCTGACACGGAAGCCTTCGCGTCACAGCAACGAGTGATAAGAGGGCACGAGTTCTGAGCAGCGCTGTCAGAAAGCTGGTCTAGGAGGGAGGAGTCCCGGGGCACTCGTTCAAATGCGTGCCGTCGGAAAAAAAAATAAAAAAGAAATCGTACGTCCGTGCACTGCGCGCTGCCCGAAGAAAACAGACGGTGTGTCGCTCTCGGTATCTCCACTTTCACGATGTAGACGTTATCGTTTTTTTTTTTATTTGTTATTTCTTAACATTGAGCAAAACCACTATACGAATGGCCCGCAAGTCCTTTCCTGCGGAGCCTTTTGTAACGGCCGTTGCTGTATAGGCGTCAGCGAAAAGGCAAAAAACAACAAAAACAAAAAAAGAAACAGTCGGTGCGCTTTTCAAAGGCGTTCCAGAATAAATATTTTCCAAACATCCTCATGTATGCTATTTAATAAGCTTTGAAGAGCTACGTAAAGTTCCGTGGTTGCTTTACAGCAAGGCTGAATATAGCAGGTTGTGGTGGCTTGCACCCGCAGGCAAAGCACGCGTAAAATTAGGTATGATTCGCAACCCACTAACTCGACTAATACAGCGTTTTCGCATCGAAAAAAAAATGCACATGCAACAGTAAATGTGCTTAATTTTGACAACGTGGCCGAATGGGGGGGGGGGGAATTTTGGCATCAAAGACGAGAACACTCTCATTACACAAACAAACGTGATGCCATTTTTGTACTTTCGAAAAAATGGGCTACCTATTTTGAGCGTTGTTGGTGGTCTTTGACGAGATAATCTGTGTAATGCGCAAGAGAAGCACCGAGATATTTGGGAGTATGTCTCTTTAATGGCATAACACAATCAGTAATAATATGTGAATTCACAATAGCGATTTTTCCTACACCAGACTTACCATAGTCACAGATTTACTGGCTTCCATCTTCCCAGTGGCGGCAGGGCTCTGAATTCATTGTTTGTGCATCGAAATTATTGCTCCTATAACACATAAACTATTACGAAGTCAGCGGCCGATTGTGTTGGCTCTCAGGCACAGCGTGGTATAGTCGCCAAAGAATAAGCTTTAAAGGCGATAGTCTTTCTTGGGGTCCTTCGACGAAAATTTTTCGTCTGTCTGTCTGTCTGTCTGTCTGTCTGTCTGTCTGTCTGTCTGTCTGTCTGTCTGTCTGTCTGTCTGTCTGTCTGTCTGTCTGTCTGTCTGTACATTTGTCTGTCCGCCCTTAACGATACCTTAAACGGCACCAAACGGCTAACCCCATCCGCAGCGCCCACCATTAATGCTCAAGGTTTAGCGTTCATAGTTGTGTGATTGTCAATTAAAAAGAAATATTGCGCATATCTGAGGAGCCATAACAAGACGTCGATGTTTTGTATGTCTGCCTTTATACTAGAAGAGGTACACACAAGTAACTCTCAGGAATGTAGCGTTTATCGCGCTGCTCTGACAGTGCAACCCGATGCTCAAAGAGGTAAGAGTTTCCAACGCTTTAATACGACGTCACGGCGGTGGAACCTGCCCGTCGCTTTTCGTTCTACACATTGTGACCTCCGAGACTGGCGCACATCTTTCACCGCGGGTGCGCATGCCTTCGATTTCGAAGATAACTGCCAGATGGCGCTCGTGTCCAACGTGCCTCGATACGCTCGTTCACCTCCGCTACACGCTCGAGGCACTCCAACGCAGCACCTCCAGAATACCATTCACCAATTTTCTTGCACAGAACATCAAAAAAACGTTTTGTTCACTCTCTCCAGACGCAAGACTATCGTCTTTCGACGATATTTGCAATGTAACATGCAGATTTGAGCCAATTTTTTACCTTGAGATTTCCTTAAGAACATTCCATGAATACGGTAACACGAAAAAAAAAGCTCATTCCAACGACGGGAAAATATCATTTTGGTTGAACCTGAGATTTGGCAATACGATTTGATGCCGCGCCGACGAAGTCCTCTTCATAGGCTGTATATAGGAGGCCAAGAGAAATGCAGGTCCCACGTACTGAACGTGGTTATTAAACAATAACGTTGATTCTGCCAACGCGGTTTGTCGTGGTGCGAAGCCGATGCTTCCATGTTCATATAGTAACATTTCGCGCAACAAAATCACGCAAGAAAAAACGACAGGACACAAACCTGTATCTTGTCGTCTTTTTTGCGTCGTTTTGTAGCGCCAAAAGTCAAGCATCATGTTAATGTCCGTCAACGCGTTGTGGCAAGCAATCATGTTCACCGTATCGAACTATACTTACGCCCCATTCAGACGCAACGAGAAGAACAGTCTCACTACAAAAACACTATAAAGCTGCAGAATAAATCCCATGAAAGCAAGGCAACAATCTGAATTGAGGCTCATCCGTTTGTGTTTTCTCTTTTACATGCGAAAACTGCTGCAATGCTGTGCATTTCGGTATTGCTATGCATTGCCATCATAGGCGTGTGCACGGGGGGATGGAGGTATCTTTATGAAGGGTGTCACACTTCTACTCAGTCGGGCTTTTTGCGCCATTTTTTATTGCGCAATGGCAATATGATGATGGCAGGATGATGGCTACGCATGCTTTTTGACGAAGAATGGCAACCTGTGATCTCATGATGTTGTAAACAAATGCTTACTTCCCACCTTCACCCCTGCGAAGCCGGGGACCAATGGCAGGCGGTTGTGAGAAGCATGTCATCGTCGCTTCGTCTTCATTTTACAGCGAAATCTGTATATGTCTAGAAGGAACAAAAAAAACTGTTAGGCATTGATGTCACGAGTGGTCTCCATTGGATGTACGATCAGTTACGTAATATTCAGCGTCGCACCCAAGCAAGCGCGCCAATGTCTGCGTTGTGTGACGCCCCGCCGCGGTGGTCAAGTGGCTAAGGTACTCGGCTGCTGACCGGCAGGTCGCGGGCTCGAATCCCGGCTGCGGCGGCTGCATTTCCGACGGAGGCGGAAATGAAGTAGGCCCGCGTGCTCAGATTTGGGTGCACATTAAAGAACCCCAGGTGGTCTTAAGTTCCGGAGCCCTCCACTACGGCGTCTATCATAATAATATGGTGGTTTTGGGACGTTAAACCCCACATATCAATCAATGTCTGCGTTGTGAGTGACGTCGTCAATCCCGTCGCAGCCACGGCGCCGAGCACGCGCTCATCAGTTTCATCTGAGAGCTTCGATATGGGTAAGCTACGGACAACTCAAGAAGAGCGCCGACATAAGAAACGTGAGAGAGCTCGCATTCGCCAGACCGATGCTGCAGTCCGGGCTCAAAAGCAGGCACGGGATGCAGAGTGCCGGCAGCAGCTGTGTACCGATGATTCGGCAGCCTTCTAAGCCACACTAAATCGCGAATGGGAATGCAAGCGCCGGTGGCGGGCGGATCCTGCAAACTACGCCGCCGAGTTAGCTCGCGATGTCAAACGCTTCCCAGAACGCAGCGCGTTGCTGTCACGACAGCGTCAACGTGATGATGGCAGGAGCGCGTTCTCCGGGGTGTAAGATGTTGAAGGAAGAAGTTGCAGGTGATGGCATCCCACCGCTGCCACCAGTTGTAAGGGTTGGGGAAATGAAGGTCGCTGGAGGATACGGGAAACAGAACAGGGGTTTATGACATTATTTACACATACAGAAAAGAAGGGTTAGTGGTTTCACAAACCACGAGCGTGGTGGTTGAACGTTACATAGTTCAGAGCGACGTCCAGCACTCTGCCGCGTCGTTTTATGCCCTGTCGGGCTCCTCCTCTCCGAGTCGAACACCAATCACGCACACACAGGTGAGGGGGGGGCGAGCATGCAAGGTCCACGTGAACACTGCACTGTGGTGGCGCCAGCAGGGCTCTTCCTCGTCGTGTGTGTGCCTTTAGTCGAGAGTTCCCACGATCCTGGCCGCATACTTCAAAGGGTTCACCGCACAGCTAGCCCAATTAGCGGGGCGATCTGCGGTGTCCGTCGCGGTCTCTTTCAGGAAGACGCCGTCCCTGTTTCCCTCTTTTGACGTGGCATCGCGGCGACACGACGTCTCCTCCTCCGGCCAGCAGGGACAATGCCTGGCGGGCATAGGCAGTCGGCCGGTCGGCTACTTGACTGAGGATTAAAGAAGCGCCGCTCCGCCGTCAGCTCTGTCGCCGGTCACGCCAGCTTTTCCGTTGCCCAATGAGTCGCCGAGTCCATTAGTCACCGCTTCTGCTTGAAGGGACGACAAAAGGGTCCGCATTTGAAGGACGGGCACGCCTTTGCTTGCTGTTTGGTCTGGATAATAGCTCAAATCTTAGACAGCGTCTGTCAGACTGGGCGCCGAAGGGATTAAGAGCCTCTCCAGTGGACCGGCTTACGCCCCATGGCGTCTGCCCAGATGAATTTCCAGGCCAAACTTAACAGCTCCTCCGCCGCGCGGAAAATCTCGGCTGGCCAGCGCTCCCAACCGCTGGGCACGAAGAGAATGGTTGCTGACGAGGACAATGGCCTGGCTTTTCTCTCTCCAGCTGCGAACTCGAAACCAACTCCCAAACCAGCTCACAATGATTGACAACAGCAAGGCGAACCACACAACACAATACCATGCCGAAGTCAAGCACATTGGACCCGCTTAAAACCCTCCAGGCTTCTCAAGAAACACAAACAAAAGAGAAACCTGTACGCTAAAATTTTTAGACAATTTTGTGCCGCCAAAGTTACAACAATCATGGATGTGGAGATGCTTACCAAAGATGTAACATATTGCCGTGAGAGAAAAGCACACAAAGGCAAATGTAATTTGGCCCCAAATAAACATAATTACACTCTTTGAAAACTATCTTTCTCCTACCATCCGCCCTACTATGTTGTAACTTACATCTAATTTCATTACTAATTTCATGAAAGACAACTACTTAAATTCCACACAAATGCAGCCTGAACCTACAAAAGGTATCTGGGCGCATTTTCTATTCTCTCATTACAAACTTACAAGGCGTAGTCGAGATTACCTACTTTTATGTCACTCTGACGCCAACAAATCTCTCTCACATACCAGAT